AATATGTGGGAGCCAATATGAGTATCCAGATTCCGCTGTTGTTTACTGACCGGAGAGGTGTCTCGGTCATGTTTACATAGTTCTTGAACTCGTAGGGTCCGCACGCTTAACGTTCGATGACGATTTGTATTATATGAGATATGTGATTTGGTGACTGAATGTTGTTTGGAGGCCCAGATGAGATCACGGACATGACGAGGAGTCTCAAAATGGTCGAGAGGTAAATATTGATATATTGGATGATAGTATTCGGACACCGGGAGTGTTCCAGAATGTATCAGGTACATATCGGAGTACCGGGGGGGGGGGGGGTTACCGGAACCCCCGAGGGGAAGATATGGGCCATAGGAGGGGAGCACATCAGTCCATAAGGGGTGGTGCGCCCCCCCCCCAAGGAAGGAGGCCGAATAGGATTAGGAGGAGGGGGTGGCGCCTCCCTCTTTCCTTCTCCCCCCTCTCTCTTCCCTTCTCCCCCTTCTGGTAAAAGGAAAGTGGGAGGCCGAATCCTACTAGGAGCCCAAGTAGGACACCTCCTACTTGGGGTGCACCTAGGGATGCCTCCCTCCCCCTCACTCCTTTATATACGTGGGGAGGGGGAGCCTAGAACACACATCAACTATTCCTAGCCGTGTGCGGCGCCCCCTCCACAGTTTATGCCTCCGGTCATATTCACATAGTGCTTAGGCGAAGCCTTGCGTGGATCACTTCACCATCACCGTCACCACGCCATCGTGCTGACGCAACTCTCCCTTGATACTTTGCTGGATCAAGAGTTCGAGGGACATCGTCGAGCTGAACGTGTGTAGAACTCGGAGGTGACGTACGTTCGGTACTTGATCGGTCGGAACGAGAAGTTGTTAGACTACATCAACCGCGTTAACAAGCGCTTCCGCTTTCGGTCTATGAGAGTACGTGGACACACTCCCCCCTCTCGTTGCTATGCGTCTCCTAGATAGATCTTGCATGTGCGTAGGAAATTTTTGAAATTCCATGCTACATTTCCCAACATCATGTACTTTCTTGGCCTATCGTGTGTCTTCTGGTCCAGAAAAATCACCGAAAAGTTTCGCTCCGTCTGGACTCCATTTGGTATTGATTTCCTGCGAAGTGAAAAACAAGCAAAAAAACAGCAACTAGCACTTGGCACTATGTCAATAGGTTAGTCCCAAAAAATGATATAAAGTTGCTATAAAATGATTGTAAAACATTCAAAAATGATAATATAACAGCATGGCACAATCAAAAAATATAGATACGTTGGAGAGCGTATCAATAGTAGGTTGCGTGAAGTATGTTCCAACTAGTGAGACTCCATCGTTGGAGACTCCAAAACACAAATACGTTTCCACCGCCGCAGGTCTCTGACCTCGTGAGATCCCATCTGGAGGCCTTTTCCGGTACTCTGTCGGAGGGGGATTTGATCATGGAGGGCTTCTACATCAATCCTATTGCCCTTCCCATGAAGCGTGAGTAGTTTACCTCCGACCTACCGGTGCATAGCTAGTAGCTAGATGGGTTCTTCTCTCTCTTTGATTCTCAATACCATGTTCTCCTCGATGTTTTTCGAGATCTATCCGATGTAATCTTCTTTCGCGGTGTGTTTGTCGAGATCCGATGAGTTGTGGATTTATGATCAGATTATCTATGAATATTATTTGAATCTTCTCGGAATTCTTATATGCATGATTTCATATCTTTGTATTTCTCTTAGAATTATCGGTTTGGTTTGGCCAACTAGATTGGTATTTCTTGCAATGGGAGAGGTACTTAGTTTTGGGTTCAATCTTGTGATGTCCTAACCCAGTGACAAAGTAGGGGTAGCGAGGCACGTATTGTATTGTTGCCATCGAGGATAAAAAGATGGAGTTTTCATCATATTGCTTGAGTTTATCCCTCTACATTATGTCATCTTACTTAAAGCGTTACTCTGTTCTTTATGAACTTAATACTCTAGATGCATGTTGGATAGCGGTCGATGTGTGGAGTAATAGTAGTAGATGCAGAATCGTTTCGGTCTACTTGACATGGACGTGATGCCTATATGCATAATCATTGCCTTGGATATCATCATAACTTTGCGCTTTTCTATTAATTGCTCGACAGTAATTTGTTCACCCACCATATTATTTACCTTCATGAGAGAAGCCTCTAGTGAAACCTATTGTCCCGGGTCTATTTTCCATCATATTTGCTTTTTGATCTACTATTTTGCAATCTTTTATTTTCAGATCTATAAACCAAAAAAACCCCAAAATACTTAGTTACCTTTTAGTTTTATCTATCTTTATCATATCTCACCTTTTGCAATTGACCATGAAGGGATTGACAACCCCTTTATCGCGTTGGGTGCAAGTGTTTGATTGTTTGTGCAGGTGCATAGACTGGGGATTTGCTTGTACCTCCTACTGGATTGATACATTGGTTCTCTAACTGAGGGAAATACTTATCTCTACTTTGCTGCATCACCCTTTTCTCTTCAAGGGAAAAACCAACACAAGCTCAAGAAGTAGCACTAATCTCTCTCCCACCTTCATGCGTCGTCGTCGCCCCAATATCCTCAGCGCTCCTCCCTTCCCTCTTGCAACAAGGTCACGTGTGACGCCTTCATCGCTACAACACGGCCATGCTGCTGCAGTGAGTGGGGCCCAAGTCCACGAGGTCACCGGTCAGCTGCCATGACATGCAAGTTCATGGGTGGGTGGTGGCGAGGAGTGTTGTGAGCTCACACGACCAAGACGATGTCGTGCTACGGCCGGTGGGGACATGTGTTGCGACCGCATGCCACAAACCCCAACTAGCAATCTTGCAACCTTCCATTTGAGAAGTTACGACCCCGAACCGAATATGTTGTGTTCAGCCGACTAACCACTAGCAACAGGAGCTACGCCCGACGATGGTAGGAGGTGCAAGCAGAGCGAGCCTTGCTATTGATGGGCATGCCACCAGCGAGGTGCTGGTGCTGTGAACAACGCCACCCGATGCTTGCAAGCGAGCGAGGGGCGCCTCGATGAGGGAGGAGAGAACAAGCCTACACTGGCGCTGAGGAAGTAGTCGCTACAATTTCTTTTCCACATGCAATTAGATGGCCACCAACAAGGCAATCGGACGGTGCGTGTGGTGACAGATCGATCGCTCGAATAGGTCGACCCAATGTAGAACGCCCTCCTATTTAAGGGAAACGCTTTTCATTGCTCGATTGATCTCACAAGATTGTAAGTCGCGTTTAGCGATCGACACGTGTCCTAGGCCCCACCCGCCGCTTATCCATCGGCCTTATCCCAGGCAGCAACGCACAACCACACAATTTCCTGCTCACGTCTTCCTCTTCCTCGCTCGCTTTCTCCCCTCTTGCGTATCGCCTATCTCTCTCTCTCTCTCTCTCTCTCTCTCTCTCTCTCTCTCTCTCTCCTTTCCCGTTCCCTGATCTAGATCGAGGCCAACAATGGCAAATCGACGGCCATCGCTACCGCAAGCTTTCTGCTCCCCTCCGCTGCTTCTCTGGCCCGCCACTTCAAAGCAAAGGACGGCCACCGTTCGCCAGAATTGCTGTAGTGGAGTGCTGCAACGAGAGTCAATGTCGGTCCTTATTTCCACACAGGCAACGACGGTCACCAGAGGTATTGCAACTTGGGGCCGCCATGCTGTCGTCGATGACGCAGATGCTTCAAGGCAACCATTGAGGCTGCAGCGGAGGTCACGTCCGCGCACTGGTGCCGGTGACTCCTGGTGCAACGTTGGCTGCCGGCTCTTGGAGCTGCGATGTAGCTCCCGGCGCTGCAATGGAGCACTTGTCAGCGGCTCTCGAAGCGGCGCTGCAGCTCCTGGCACTGCAACGAAGCACTCGCCGATGGCTATGGGCGCTGCCATTCCATGGAGCGCTTGCCAGCTGCTCTCCGAGCTGCGATGCAGCTCCCGGCGCTGCAATGGAGCACTCGTCAGCGGCTCTCGGAGCTGCGATGCAACTCTTGGCGGCGCTACGGAGCACTCCCGACGGCTCCCGACGCTGCCATGCCATGGAGAGCTTGCCATCGGCTATCGAAGCTATAATGCAGCTCCCGACGCTGCAACGGAGCGCTCGCCGGTGGCTCCCATCGCTGCAATGGAGTGCTCGCCGGTGGCTCTCGAAGCTGCAATGAAGTGCTCGTTGTTGCGATGGAGATGCTCGTCGGCGGTGCCCTGGTGCTGCGATGAAGTGCCAGGCAACGGTTTTCATGGTGTTGTGATGCAGCGCCTTGCCGCCGCCGGCGGCGAGCGGCGGCGGCCCGTTGCAACACAAGGGGATGGGATGCATGTTTCTCTGCAGCATCACTGGCGAGCGACGACGACCAGCGAAAAATGTGGTCTATTTTAGGTCAAGCAGTGGCCAGCTGCGGATGTTGAGGGGGATGAATCCACTGCGGGAGTGCGATGCGGAATTCGGCGAGGCCCAACGCGACGTTTGTGATGGGGCGCATCTAACGGTCATGGAGGCGACTTACATTTTCCTCAAATCAACCGGTTTACGCCTTAGCACTCGCCACTATTTGATGCCGAAATCGAGGCCCCCAAACCTAGACGACCATGCCCGATCAAAAAAAGTTCTATCTGCCAATTCTCAAAAAAAGAAAGTTCTATCTGCCACGGTCCCCGTTTTGACCGGGAGATCATGATCTGACGGCACCAGGAGAGCGCACGTATTGCGGGAAGGGGTGCCACTTGTCCGAGTCTTGACCGCGAGATCACGACCGGACGGCATCTAGAGAGCCCACGTATTACGGAACTAACTGGCAGAGTCGCACCGTCTGGTTGGTTGGCGGTTGCCTTCACCGAATGACTACACCCCCTCTCCCCTCACGCCACCGCCGCCGCCGCCGCGCTCGCTCGCCGGATTCCGCCGCAATTTCTTTCCGGCCCGAGCCCACCTCGCCCCGTTCCACAGGCTAGCTGCTGCGGCAAGCTCCTTCTTATTCCAAAATTTGCCACGACGAGCTGACATCGGCGAGTGACCCCACCCGCGGGCCATGGCGTCGCTGGCTTCTCTCTCCATCTACACCGTGCCGGGGCGCGCAGGCCGTGCCGAGTCCGTTCACACCCCTCGCCGGCGGCGTATGGCGGTGGTGCGGGCGAAGGTGCGCGAGATCTTCATGCCTGCGCTGAGCTCGACGATGACGGAGGGCAAGATCGTCTCCTGGACGACCGCCGAGGGAGACCGCGTCTCCAAGGGCGACCCCGTGGTGGTCGTCGAGTCCGACAAGGCAGACATGGATGTGGAGACCTTCCACGACGGCATCATCGCCGCCGTCCTCGTCCCGGCCGGTGGGACCGCCCTCGTCGGCGCCCCCATCGCCCTCCTCGCCGAGTCCGAGGAGGATGTCGCCCTCGCGCAGGCGCGTGCCCAGGCCCTATCCAAGGCCCAGGGCGAAGAAACCCCTCCTCCCCATGCTGCCGCCACGGCTCCACCTACCGTGGCCCCTGCTCTGGCACCAGTGGCCGCACCGACGAATGGCATCGCTACGCCTCATGCCAAGAAGCTCGCGAAGCAGCACAGAGTGGACATCTCCAATGTTATCGGCACCGGGCTAAACGGCCGCATCACGGCGGCTGACGTTGAGGCTGCCGCTGGGATCCAGCCAAAGCCAAAGGCCGCTCCACCTCCACCCCCTGCAGCTCGCTCTGCACCTCCGGCAGGCACACCATTAGTAGCTGCAGTCAGACAACCAGCAGTGCTTCCTCCGGTGCCTGGTGCGACTGCGGTGCCATTCACATCGATGCAATCGGCGGTGAGCAGGAACATGGTGGAGAGCTTGTCAGTGCCAACGTTCCGAGTTGGGTATGCCATCAAGACCGATAAGCTCGATGCACTCTATGAGAAGGTATCGTTGCGATGAACCTTCGACAAAATATTGAATTGCATAGCTAGATTCTTGAGATACTGCTCAGGTTTTCATGTGTGTAGTGACAGTTTGATTAAAATGGATTGTGCAGGTTAAGTTGAAAGGGGTTACAAAAACATTGTTGCTGGTGAAAGCAGCAGGCATGGCACTCGCTCAGCACCCAGTTGTGAATGCCAGCTGCAGGGATGGAAAGAGCTTCAGTTACAACAGTAGTATCAACATCGCGGTGGCGGTTGCCATCGAGGGTGGCCTTCTTACGCCTGTGTTGGAGGATGTTGATAAGGTACATGCTTATTGCGATAGCTGTCTTTTCTATTAAGAAATGCAACATTTAGCATGTCGGTAAATCAATTAAAAGCCTCAAAAAATGAAAACATTGCAGTCAGATATATATCTGCTCGCGCAAAAATGGAGAGCACTGCTCAAAAAGACGCGCATGAAGCAGCTCCAACCAAATGAATACAGCTCTGGTAAGGAACTTGTGTCTTATTTTGACATTTAGTTTTTCACTGGAACTGTTCTTACATGGAGATCGGCTGATGTATAGGGACGTTTTCACTGTCCAACCTTGGTATGTTTGGGGTAGATAGATTTGATGCAATCCTTCCACCTGGTCAGGTGAGTTATTTTCCTGATCTCTGCTTGGTCAGTATGAATTGCAGATAAATTGCATCTGTGCGACATAAGAACTAACAACTAAGAACCACTATATATAAATTGCTCGATCCAGGGGGCTATCATGGCTGTTGGAGCATCGAGACCTACTGTTATAGCTGACAAGGATGGTTTCTTCAGTATCAAGAACGAAATGCTGGTTAGTTTGCTTTTCAGTTTTTAATTTGGATATATCAAAGCTGACTGGTTAGTACTAAAAATGCATGCATTCAACAGATATTAATGCGTGCGAACCCCTAGTGTATGTTGCTGAAATACATTATCATATATAATATGCAGGCATGATAAGCATGTAAACTTGGTTGGTTATGTATGAGGTCTGTAGTGACATAAGAGTAATTTATGCTTCATGCCACAGCTAAATGTGGCTGCAGGATGTTCTGTTTACCTGAGCTGGTTTCTAACTGGTAAAGTTTTGTTTGCTTCTATAACTGCAAGCGCGTTTTGGTTTGGGACATCATTAGTTTTCTTTTAACATACTCCGGTCCCATAATACTCATATATTGGATGTAGTAACATCTTATATTATGGGACGGAGGGAGTATATGATATCATATATCACTAAATGTGCTTTGTGGCAGTTATCAAGAAATACTGCTTGCCTCCTGATTCTTTCCAGACTGTACATTCTAGGTGCTAACCTACAAATGACGTGTTTATTATGATTTTTTCCTAAGATCGTACTTCATGGTATTATACATGCGGCTTTTAGACCTCTAAACCTTCACTTGCAACACCACATTTATAGAATTAACAAAATCCTATTAAAATGCAGCTCAGGACCCTAACTAAGTTACTCATAACCTTTTCAGGTCAATGTTACTGCTGATCACAGGATTATATATGGCGCTGATTTGGCAGCATTTCTGCAAACATTTGCAAAGATTGTCGAGGACCCTGAGAGCTTAACACTGTAGAAGAGAAGTTCCTCGGAAGTGTGCCCATGATTTATCTGGTTCCAATTGGAACATGATAGGAATAATGTTATGGAGAATTCGCGAAGGCGTTGAAAATGTAGAATAGCCACAGATAATTCTGTATACTCATCTTTTTTGGATGTAGATGCCCTGATTCAGCAAGCCATGAATAATTCTACTCTTTGGGGTGTTAATAATAATGCAAAAGATCTTTACATTCAGAATAGTGCCAACCGAAAAAAAAGATTGCTTGTGGCTTGGATGATGCTGGTTAGCAAGAAGTCAAGGTTAAGCAGGCCGTCAGTGGTGAAATAACTAAGTGGTGAACTTCACTCAAACAGGTCATGAGGAGTACAGATCAAAATGATGACTTTATAAGCTCGCACACAAGAAGGGGTAAATCCTCTGAAAAGTTTCAAGTACAGAAGCTAACTGGAGCAGCATCCGAGTGCTGGCACAAGCCATACAAGGTGGGTTTCAGGGCATCTGCCCGCCGCCGGCGCCCTGCTCGTCGCCGCCCCCTGGCCCTGTGGCCTCCCTGAGCTCCAGTATCTCGACGCGCCGGTTGGTCCGCTTCCTGATCTTGATGGCCACGTCCTGCGGGCTGAAGGCGCCCCAGACGCTCACCCGGCCGTGCTTCCGGTCAATCAGGTGGCTCTCCAGCTCTGCCAATTTTGGTTCAGACAACACAGAGCAACACACGCAGCAACTTTGAGAGGTCTGTGGAAAGAGGAGGACGTACTACGTACCTTGCATCTGGAGCAGCGCCCTCCTGATCTTCTGGTAGCACCCGTTGCAGTCTATGCTCATCCTCAGGGTCATGCAGTAGAACTGCTGCAGATCACAGGAGACACAGAGTAAGAGAGGTGCACCACATCACTGCTTGCTGCTGCTGCCTCCCCAAGAAGTTCATATGCACATACCCTGTAGTCCATGAAGACGACGAGGCTGCTCTTCCTCGGCGGCGGTGGCGGCGACTGACCGGAGATTCCGGGGAACCAAAGTTGCGAGGAAAGCAAGGAACCTTAGGTGCAGAAAGTGGGGAATTAGCGCTGCTTAAGAGCCTCTTTTTATGGCCACTCGCTTCCTCGTTTCCTCGTGGGCGGGCTCGACGTGCGCTGTCAGAATCCGATTCTGCTTCCCAGATTGTTCCTTTGCTATCTGTTCTTCAGATCTTTATCAGTTGCTGGTAGGACCTGCAAACATGCTCTCGGGATCTATTTTATAAGTTTGGAGAGGCAAAAAGTTCTGCATACGAGATACCTGTAGCCTGTAGGCTTGTGGAAGATAATATTCCTTCAGGCTCTACCTTGCACTACTTGACAGTTCACCTTTACGCCTCAGACCCGTCCCAGAGGTTAAAAAAGAGATGAAAATCTGGAGAAATCATGGTGAAAAGACGAGGGAAGATGACGGGTAGATTTGTCAGCGAGAACAACCTAGGGAAAGGTTATGGAAAATCTGTGTGAACATATCCGAGCTTTTTTCTAGTTCTCCATGGCATTAATCTTGACTCTTCCAGCCTTGTGTGAGCTGAGAATCCGAGTTCATCTTTACAAACGGAAACGAGGATCATCATGCGCTGATGATGGTGGAAAGTTGCAGGCCACCGATTATCTAGCCGGCGAGTTTGACCCTGCCTTTCACTAGGAGATTATACAGTGAGAAAAGCAGCGACCCAGTGAAGTGACACTAGGATTTGGTGTCCAGACAGTGAGAACTGCTCCCAACCCGCAGCATGTTTGGGCAGGATCAGATTCCTGGGCCAGTTTGGGGGGCTGAACCACCAAGCCAACAACCTGCCTGGCTTTCTCCTTTGAATGCATGATGATACACTGCTTGGTGTATTCCAGGAAGATAGAAAAAAAAAGGAATTTCTGACAAGTAGACAGACACCAAACATGAGGAGTAAAACAGACAACGAATGTCTCCTTTTATTTGAAGTTCAGAAAGCACAGACAACGAACGTCTCCTTTTATTTGAAGTTCAGAAAGCACAGACAACTCTCAGTCTAGAATGGTAATAAAGATCGAGCACACCCCGATAGGCGAATGCGCGAAATGTTTGAGAAGACGGCGGTTGATGAATGGAAAGTTGAGGCCAGACTTCATCATATCCTGCCACCAGCTTCAGTCATCCATGGTCAGGTCGATCACCTCCGTTTCGTCCACGGCGACGACAGGAGCCTCGCCATTGGTCACGCACATCTCTTCCATGGGCACTGGATTCACCGGCGCAGCGCCTCCACTGGAGGCAGAGCCACTGGTGCTTCCCTGGCTGCTGCCCTCCGAAGACCCCATTTTCTTTGCGCCAGAAGATTTTCTAGCCTTGCCCTTGCGTTCAGCGCCATTCAGGTCGTCAAAGTTTGTAGTATCAGCTGAGCTGCCGCCGTGGGACATGCAATCTCCCTCCGCCGCGGCTGGTTTTGCAGCTTCATCAGCAAGACCCTTGATCTTTTTGGCCTGGTCCTCCAGCCTTTTTTCCTCGAAAGAGTAGCCCTGAGCCAGGAACCTCTTCAGTGGAGGAGCAGAGTTTGCAGGTTCATCGTCACCTTCCTCCAGAGGCTGCACCAGTCCTGCGGTTGGCGCGGCCAGCTCTGCGGCTGCAGCGACCGCCGTCTGGCTAGACTGCTCACCCATCTTCTGAGCCTTCTGTTTCGAAGAGCTCTCACCACCCTTCTTCATTGCAGATTGCTGGACGCCCTGCTGCTTCTTCAGGTCAAGGGTTATCTTGGCTGCAACATCCTTTCTTGCATCTAGAGGCATCCATTGCTCCTCATGCCACTCAAATGACTTTCGCAGACACTCCACTCGGAGCTTCACAAGTTTCCCCTCCCCTGGAAATTTTGGCAAACATGCAATGCATCAGGAAGAGCTCCAGTCCAGTGTTCTAAGTACCAACCGAATATATACTTCTATTAACTGCTAGCTAGGTGATGGAGAGAGTAGGCAGGCAGTTCACCTTGGAGATAAACTTGGACGTGGCCAGCAGTCTCCTGCTGCAGCACGATCCCCTCCCACCATCCGCCATTCAGCCGCGCATCGACAATGACCCCAACAGCCACCGGAGACTCGATCTTCCTATAGTGTCTTGGGAGGTGTGGGCGAAGCATGGGCCTTTTAGTAAGGCGTATGCCCAAGTGGTCAGGTTCCGCAATTCTTGCAACATTGAGCCATTCCTGCAAAACAAGAAAACTCATGTTGAGTACATACATCATCATCATCATCAACACATGCGGGATACCAAAGAAAGAAGAGGAAGGGCCAACCTTGAGTTGTCCCCTGCCCTTGGAATTTAGAAGGCCTTGATACCGCACCCTGACCTTGTTATCTTTCTCCCTCCTACTGACTACCACACATTTGAACCAACAACCCCTGACGCTGCTATCTTGGCACAGGGCTTCAAGACGGCAGCCGGGCTGGAATATCTTCTCAGGGTTCACCATGGTCGACGCATCATTGGCTGCTGCATTACACGTACCAGTACCAGTACCACTTGGGGGCGGCTGATTATGCGCGGTGGTCTGACAGTTCACCACGCTACAGGGAACGACACTGCATTCGATGGTCTGGCCATTGGTGGCGCTGTGTGGAGTTGCGCTGCATGGAGGGGGCATCTCCTTCTGCTTCTCCATGGTTTTGTTGTCACTGGTAACAGTGCATGGAGGGGGCTTCTGCTTCTCCATGGTTTTGTCACTGATCAGAGCTGGAACTGGAAGGAGTTGTGCTGCATGCAGGGGGCTTCTGCTTCTCCATGGTTTTGTCACCGATAACAGCGCTGGAAGGAGTTGGGCTGCATGGAGGGGGCTTCTGATTCTGCTTATGCATGGTTTTGTCACCGGTAACAGCACTGGAAGAACCAGCATGGTTCTCGGCGGCCAGACCAGTAGTGGCAGCTTTGCCTTTGTTATCAGGTGGCTTGCCCTGCACCACCGCCGACGAGGGTGCGGCAACAATTGCCTTTACTATCTCCTGATTTTCATATCCTTGTAGCTGCGTGATGTCAAAGGGCCCGAAAGTGTCACCATCGATCCACCGATGGCATACATAGGGCTGCAAGCTACTGCACCCTCCACTTATTTTCTTGAACATCTCGAAGTGTTGTGGATTCAGGACCGCGGCCACCCCCTCCACAAATTCAACCCTCAGATCTTGCAGCCCGTATCCAAAGAAGACCTCCCTGCAATAAAGATCTGGGGGCAATGCAACACCGTGCTCACCGTCGGGTCCCTCAAACCATCGCACCAGCACCATGTTCTTGGCACCGCCATCTTCGTACATGTCTTCCACATAGGCAACATGGTTCTCTCTCCCTCCACTCTTGATGAACACAAAATCATGAACCTACAAAGACATATAGTGCGCGACACAATTAATAATAGATGTAAACCAAGATATTTAGATCCGTCTGTATGTGAAAACAAATCAAGAAAACAAGGGGACCGTCGATGAACACGTACCGAAATTCTCATTCCCTCTCGGCAAAAGGATTTGTAGTGCTTGCGACATTGATCAAGATTGGGCAATTTGCATATCCATGTGAACCCTTCTTTATTTTCCCCGGCAGCAGAGAGTGTTGAGGAGGTATCCTGGATGAACAACAGACATTCATTTCGTTGGGAGGAAGCATTTCTCAGGAAGACGCTTGAGATCGTATGTACCTTAGATGCACCATCATGGTGGTCGGGACAAGTCAATCCAAAGGCTCCATATGGGGGATCTACAGACGACAACAATGGAAGGCAAGTTAGGTGATTTCTATCAACATCATATTGGCCTCACAAGACCAACACAAGAGGAAACACATAAGTTAACCAAACACTAATCTAAAAAAATAAACCAAACACAAAAGGAAATAAAAGCATAAACCAGAACTAGCAAATTAACAAACACATACATCATGAATTAAACAAGCCAAGATAGAACACATATAGGGAGATGCATGAGAAAAGGAGTAGATCTAGAAGATTAGACAAAAGATATCTAACAATAAATTACTTGTCGTCTTGACAAAAAGGAGTAGATCTATTAGATTAGACAAAAGATATCCCAAAGTATTGCTAATAAAGGAAGGGGATAGAAGGAGGGCACTACAAGATGGTCATGGATATCATCCCCTTGTACCGAATCTTTGGCACCGAACAAAAACGTGACGAAACATGAGTAGAAACTGATCTGGCTGGACATAGGAGCAGCGTGTGTATTAACGCCAAAAAGCTCCTAAACATTCAGATCCAAACATTAGAAACACAAGAAAAAAGAAGATTGGATCTTGTGTTCGAGATGTAAACCCCTACTAAACACTGACCAAACATTCATATCGGTCGTTAGAGATGCATGGTGAAAATTCTAGCGGCCTGATCCGTTAGCTTAATCATGTATGGTGCAAAAACCACCAAAAAAATTCACCACTAGGGCATGAAAAAAGGAGCACTTAGTACCTGCGACGAGCGAGGTGAGCCAGGCCATGACCTCCTTCCTGGACTTCCACCTGATCTGGGTGATCTCCAACGCCAGCGTCGCCACCCTAGCAGACACCGACCCAGACTCGAGCACCGTCTGGAGGGATTGCATGAACTGCAAGTCCGCCGAGTACACTATGTTCCCAGGTCCCCAATACTTACCCACCACCGCCAGATCCCTCTCGCTCTTGCCGCCGTCCTGGGGCGACGCGCAGAGGAGGAAGTAGCACACCTTGCGCTCCTCGCCGTCGCCGTCCCCCAGCACGATCTCCTGTTGGAAATATGCCCTAGAGGCAATAATAAATTGATTATTATTATATTTCCTTGTTCATGATAATCGTTTATTATCCATGCTAGAATTGTATTGATAGGAAACTCAGATACATGTGTGGATACATAGACAACACCATGTCCCTAGTAAGCCTCTAGTTGACTAGCTCGTTAATCAATAGATGGTTACGGTTTCCTGACCATGGACATTGGATGTCGTTGATAACGGGATCACATCATTAGGAGAATGATGTGATGGACAAGACCCAATCCTAAGCCTAGCACAAGATCATGTAGTTCATATGCTAAAGCTTTTCTAATGTCAAGTATCATTTCCTTAGACCATGAGATTGTGCAACTCCCGGATACCGTAGGAGTGCTTTGGGTGTGCCAAACGTCACAACGTAACTGGGTGGCTATAAAGGTACACTACGGGTATCTCTAAAAGTGTCTGTTGGGTTGGCACGAATCGAGATTGGGATTTTGTCACTCCGTGTAAACAGAGAGGTATCTCTGGGCCCACTCGGTAGGACATCATCATAATGTGCACAATGTGACCAAGGGGTTGATCACGGGATGATGTGTTACGGAACGAGTAAAGAGACTTGCCGGTAACGAGATTGAACAAGGTATCGGTATACCGACGATCGAATCTCGGGCAAGTACCATACCGCTAGACAAAGGGAATTGTATACGGGATCGATTGAGTCCTTGACATCGTGGTTCATCCGATGAGATCATCGTGGAACATGTGGGAGCCAACATGGGTATCCAGATCCCGCTGTTGGTTATTGACCGGAGAACGTCACGGTCATGTCTGCATGTCTCCCGAACCCGTAGGGTCTACACACTTAAGGTTCGATGACGCTAGGGTTATAAAGGAAGCTTGTATGTGGTTACCGAATGTTGTTCGGAGTCCCGGATGAGATCCTGGACGCCACGAGGAGTTCCGGAATGGTCCGGAGGTAAAGATTTATATATAGGAAGTCCTGTTTCGGCCATCGGGACAAGTTTCGGGGTCATCGGTATTGTACCGGGACCACCGGAAGGGTCCCGGGGGCCCACCGGGTGGGGCCACCTGCCCCGGGGGCCACATGGGCTGTAGGGGGTGCGCCTTGGCCTACATGGGCCAAGGGCACCAGCCCCTAGAGGCCCATGCGCCAAGATATAGGGAAAAGGGGAGAGTCCTCAAGGGGGAAGGCACCTCCGAGGTGCCTTGGGGAGGATGGACTCCTCCCCCCCTCTTAGCCGCACCCCTTCCTTGGAGGAAGGGGCAAGGCTGCGCCTCCCCCCTCTCCCCTGCCCCTATATATAGTGGAGGGGAGGGAGGGCATCCATACCTGAGCCCTTGGCGCCTCCCTCCCTCCCGTGACACCTCCTCCTCTCCCGTAGGTGCTTGGCGAAGCCCTGCAGGATTGCCACGCTCCTCCATCACCACCACACCGTTGTGCTGCTGCTGGATGGAGTCTTCCTCAACCTCTCCCTCTCTCCTTGCTGGATCAAGGCGTGGGAGACATCGTCGAGCTGTACGTGTGTTGAACGCGGAGGTGTTGTCCGTTCGGCACTAGGATCATCGGTGATCTGAATCACGACGAGTACGACTCCATCAACCCCGTTCACTTGAACGCTTCCGCTTAGCGATCTACAAGGGTATGTAGATGCACTCCCCTTTCTACTCGTTGCTGGTCTCTCCATAGATAGATCTTGGTGTTACGTAGGAAAATTTTGAATTTCTGCTACGTTCCCCAACAGTGGCATCATGAGCTAGGTCTATTGCGTAGATTCTTTGCACGAGTAGAACACAAAGTAGTTGTGGGCGTCGATATTGTTCAATATGCTTGCCGTTACTAGTCTTATCTTGATTCGGCGGCATCGTGGGATGAAGCGGCCCGGACCAACCTTACACGTACGCTTACGTGAGACCGGTTCCACCGACAAACATGCACTAGTTGCATAAGGTGGCTGGCGGGTGTCTGTCTCTCCCACTTTAGTCGGATCGGATTCGATGAAAAGGGTCCTTATGAAGGGTAAATAGCAATTGGCATATCACGTTGTGGTTCATGCGTAGGTAAGAAACGTTCTTGCTAGAAACCCATAGCAGCCACGTAAAACATGCAAACAATAATTAGGGGACGTCTAACTTGTTTTTGCAGGGTATGCTATGTGATGTGATATGGCCAAAAAAAAGGATGTGATGAATGATATATGTGATGTATGAGATTGATCATGTTCTTGTAATAGGAATCACGACTTGCATGTCGATGAGTATGACAACCGGCAGGAGCCATAGGAGTTGTCTTTATTTATTTGTGACCTGCTTGTCAACTTAAACGTCATGTAATTACTTTACTTTATTGCTAACCGTTAGCCATAGTAGTAGAAGTAATAGTTGGCGAGGCAACTTCATGAAGACACGATGATGGAGATCATGATGATGGAGATCATGGTGTCATGCCGGTGACGATGATGATCATGGAGCCCCGAAGATGGAGATCAAAAGGAGCAAAGTGATGATGGCCATATCATGTCACTATTTGATTGCATGTGATGTTTATCATGTTTATACATCTTATTTGCTTAGAACGACGGTAGTAAATAAGATGATCCCTTACAACAATTTCAAGAAGTGTTCTCCCCTAACTGTGCACCGTTGCGACAGTTCGTGTTTCGAAGCACCACGTGATGATCGGGTGTTAGATTCTAACGTTCACATACAACGGGTGTAAGACAGATTTACACACGCGAAACACTTAGGGTTAACTTGACGAGCCTAGCATGTACAGACATGGCCTCGGAACAAGGAGACCGAAAGGTCGAACATGAGTCGTATAGAAGATACGATCAACATGAAGATGTTCACCGATGATGACTAGTCCGTCTCACGTGATGATCGGACACGGCCTAGTTTGACTCGGATCATGTAATCACTTAGATGACTAGAGGGATGTCTATCTGAGTGGGAGTTCATAAGATGAACTTAATTATCCTGAACATAGTCAAAAGGTTTTTGCAAATTATGTCGTAGCTCACGCTATAGTTCTACTGTTTAGATATGTTCCTAGAGAAAATATAGTTGAAAGTTGATAGTAGCGATTATGCGGACAGTAGAAAGCTTATGTCCTTAATGCACCGCTCAGTGTGCTGAACCCCAAACGTCGTCTGTGGATGTTGCGAACATCGGACATACACGTTTTGATAACTACGTGATAGTTCAGTTAAACGGTTTAGAGTTGAGGCACCAAAGACGTTTTTGAAACATCGCGAAACATATGAGATGTTTTGAGGGCTGAAATTGGGATTTCAGGCTCGTGCCCATGTCAAGAGGTATAAGACCTCCGATGACTTTCTTAACCTGCAAACTAAGGAGATAAGCTCAATTGTTGAGCTTGTGCTCAGATTGTCTGAGTACAACAATCATTTGAATCGAATGGGAGTTGATCTTCCAGATAAGACAGTGATGGTTCTCCAAAGTCATTGCCACCAAGCTGTTAGAGCTTCGTGCTGAACTATAACATATCAGGGATAGATATGATGATCCTTGAGGTATTCGCGATGTTTGACACCGCGAAAGTAGAAATCAAGAAGGAGCATCAATTGTTGATGGTTGGTGAAACCACTAGTTTCAAGAAGGGCAAGGGCAAGAAGGGATACTTCATGAAACGGCAAATCAGCTGCTGCTCTAGTGAAGAAACCCAAGGTAAAACCCAAACCCGAGACTAAGTGCTTCTGTAATAAGGGGAACAACCACTAGAGCAGAATTACCCTAGATACTTGGTAGATAAGAAGGCTGGCAAGGTCGATAGAAGTATATTGGATATACATTGTGTTAATGTGTACTTTGCTAGTACTCCTAGTAGCACCAGGGTATTAGATACCGGTTCGGTTGCTAAGTGTTAGTAACTCGAAACAAAAGGCTACGGAATAAACGGAGACTAGCTAAAGGTGAGCTGACGATATGTGTTGGAAGTTTTTCCAAGCTTGATATGATCAAGCATCGCACGCTCCCTCTACCAAAGAGATTGGTGTTAAACCTAAATAGTTGTTATTTGGTGTTTGCGTTGAGCATAGACATGATTGTATTATGTCTATCGCAATACGGTTATTCATTTAAGGAGAATAATGGTTACTCTGTTTATTTGAATAATACCTTCAATGGTCTTACACCTAAAATGAATGGTTTATTAAATCTCGATCATAGTGATACACATGTTCATGCCAAAAGATAGTAATGATAGTACTACCTACTTGTGGCACTGCCACATAAGTCATATCGGTATAAAACGCATGAAGAAGCTCCATATTGATGGATCTTTGGGCTCACTCGTTTTTGAAAAGTTTGAGACATGCGAACCATGTCTATTGGTGTATATGCATGAAGAAAACTCCATGCAAATGGACCGTTTTGACTTACTTGATTTTGAATCACTTGGGACATGCAAATCATACCACATGGGCAAGATGACTGAAAAGCCTCGTTTTCAGTAAGATGGAACAAGATAGCAACTTGTTGGAAGTAACACATTTTGATGTGTGCAGTCCAATGAGTGCTGAGGCATGCAGTGAATATCGTTATGTTCTTACTTCACAGATGATTCGAGTAGATGTTGAGTATATTTACTTGATGAATCACGAGTCTGAATTATTGAAAGGTTCAAGTAATTTTAGTGTGAAGTTGAAAGATCGTCGTGACAAGAGGATAAAAGATCTATGATATGATCATAGAGATGAATATCTGAATCACAAGTTTGGCACAGAATTAAGACATTGTGGAAATTGTTTCACAACTGATACAGCCTGGAACACCATAGTGTGATGGTGTGTCCGAACGTCATAGTTGCACCC